TTATCTAACTAAAAAAGAATTATATGCGTTAAAACAGCTAAGAAACGACAAGAAAATTGTCGTTACGAGAGCAGATAATGGGAACACGACTGTCATCATGAACTTCTCAGACTAAAAGAAAAAATCCAGGAACATCTCCAAGACGGCCTGTATGAATTAATTAAAGAAATGAAAATTCGGATTACACCTAATAAACTTAAGGCTGAATCTAGTAAAACCTTACAGTAGACCAAAATGAAACTAGGACTGTCATTATTGTTCGTATTATATCTAAAAAGTTGAAACCATTGTACATTCTATGGACTACCAAAGATTCACAAGAATAGTACTCCACTAAGACCAGCGGTTGATTTTACAAATTCGCCGACATATAACCTAGTGAAATACTTAGCTAAGATACTCACACCATACGACAAATTGATTAATTATGGAAATAAAAACTTTACTGAATTCAAGAGCAATATATATACCATCCTTATAGAATAGGGTGAAATGATGGCAAGTTTTCATGTTTCTTCCTAATTTACTAATGTACATATTGATAGAGTATTGGATATTATTTATAATTGTTTAGAATCTGACTCAGATTTGAATTTACGACGTCTGTTAGATTCTTCCAAAGTTATCAAGTGTCTGGAGTTGTGTTTACGATCCACATTATTCTCATTCCGATGAGACCTTTACAGACGGAAAGGTATGGCAGTGGATTAACCAGTTTCTCCCATTGTAAAGAATATATTCATGAATTCCCTAAAAGCCAATGCGATCACAAAATGTGTAAATCCACCAAAAGTTTGGTTACGATATGAAAATGAAATTTTTATCATTATCAAACGAAGTGGTTCAGAAGAGGTGTTTGAAGATACAAACAGCATTTTGGAGGGCATCAAGCTAACCGAGGAAAGTGAGTCCACTGACCAAAAACTAGCTTCTCTTGATTGTTTGGTCGAAAGAAGACATGACAATAAGTTGAAAATTAATGTATTCAGGAAATCAACACATTCTGAGGGATAATTAGATTACGGTTCGGCTCATGTGTATTGTACGAAAGTCATAGTTGTAACGAAATAAACTAACAGGAGTATTGATCTGATTATGGAGAAAGAAGACTAACAAGTTGAACTGAATGGAATTTTGTCTACACTTACGGCTAACAATTACCTGAGAGAATTTTCAAAGATTATTAGAAATGAAAAAAAACTAAATTAAAATGTGTACCAAAAGACTGGAAGTCCACCGTGATAATCCCATAGTGTAGAGAAACATTGGATGAACTTAAGAAAAATCTAAACAAACATAAGAGTGTATTTTCGGGCTAGTGACACCATAAGATCAGCATTAGTGAAAGTTAAGGATAGGTTTCCAAAGGAAGAACAACAGAATGTTACCTATGCGATCAATTGTGATAAATGTAATGCAGCTTATGTGGGAGAAACTTCTAAACAATTGAGTGTGAGGTTGAAGGCACACAAACAATGTTTAAGAAATGTTCCCGAATCCTCGGTTGATCTGAAGGAACATAAGAATAGGTCGGTGATAGCGTGACATGAGTTAGAAACAGGACACAAGACCAATTTTGAAGGAACCAAGATACTTCAGAAAGGTTTTAAAATACATAAAGAAAGATTGACAGCAGACGTGCTGTATATATGGGCGAATAAGAACAGCCTGAACACAAAGGGTGGTATTCAACAAGCAACTACTTGGCAAATATTCGTTAACAAGTAATTGGACCTATTCTCTATCCAACCTGTTTATTTCACACGCATCGTTATTCTAACTGAAATTAGTGTGGTTTGTTTTAGCAATACAATTATATATTCGATAGTTCTCATGTTGCGCGAACATCGACTGTTCAAAAACAACTTCAACCTTCAACTTGTACTTTTATTTACTTACTTACATACGCTTGCTGCTTCTCGTGAAGGAGCATAGGCCGCTCACCAGCATTCTCCGTTCAACCCTGTCCTGGGCAATCCTTTCCAGCTACTTCCAGTTGTTATTCCTCCTTTTCATATCTGGTTCTATTTCCCGACATAATGTGTTCTTTGGCCTTCCTCTTTTCCGCTTCCCTTCAGGATTCCAAGTTAGGGCTTGTCTCGTGATGCAGTTTGACGATTCGCGTAATGTATGTCCTATCCATTTCCATCGTCTTTTCCGAATTTCCTCTTCAACTAGAAGCTGGTTTGTTCTCTCCCACAAAAGCCTGTTGCTGATGGTATCCGGTCAATGGATGTTGAGTATCTTGCGTAGACAATTATTTATAAATACTTGTGCCTTCTTGATGGTGGTTGTAGTAGTTATCCAAGTTTCAGCTCCATACAGTAGAACTGCCAGGACGTTCGTATTGAAGATTCTCAGTTTGATATTGGGTGAAAGTTGTTTTGAGTTCCATATGTTCTTCAATCGTAAGAATGCGGCCCTTGCTTTGCCAATCCTTGCCTTTACGTCTGCATCTGAACCTCCGTGTTCATCGATGATGCTTCCCAGGTATGTGAAGGATTCTACATCTTCCAGAGTTTCGCCATCAAGTGTGATTGGATTGCTGTTCTCTGCTTTGAATTTGAGGACCTTGGTTTTCCCCTTGTGTATACTGAGGCCTACTGATGCAGAGACTGCTGCTACAATGGCTGCCTTTATCTGCATTTGTTCATGTGTATGTGATAGGAGGGCTAGGTCATCTGCGAAGTCCAAATCGTCTAATTGGTTCTGAGCTGTCCATTGTATTCCGTGTTTCCCCTCCGATGTCGAGGTCTCCATAATCCAGTCGGCCACCAGAAGAAAGAGGAAGGGAGAGAGTAGACAGCCTTGTTTGACTCCGGTCCTTACTTGGAATGCATATGTCAGGTGTCCTCTATGCATAACCTTGCACTGTAGTCCGTCGTATGAGTCCCGGATAATGTTGACAATCTTCTTAGGAACTCCGTAGTGTCGAAAAATTTTCCATAACGTTCTCCTATCTACACTGTCAAACGCCTTTTCATAATCAATGAAGTTGATGTACAGTGACGAGTTCCACTCAATTGATTGTTCGACGATGATCCGTAGTGTCGCAGTTTGGTCTGTGCACGACTGATCCTTACGGAATCCAGCTTGTTGATCTCGAAGTTTGGCGTCTACTGCATCTTTCATCCGGCCCAGCAACACTCTGTTAAAGACTTTCCTTGGTACTGTCAGTAGTGTAGTGCCCCTGCAGTTTTCACATTTTCTCAGATGTCCTTTCTTTGTAATCTTGATGAGGTGTCCTTCCTTCTAATCCATCGGCACTTTTTCCTCCTCCCAAATCTTCTTGAATAGAAGGTGAAGCATGTTTGTAGTTACTTCGATGTCTGACTTCAATGCTTCAGCCGGTATATTGTCGGGTCCTTTACTTTTATTTACTTCACATAAAACAAATTAACGCCTAATATCAACTATTAATAACTCAAACTTATACGTACACACAATTATTCATTCATTTATTTTAACATTGTGAACGTTTCACATGATTCACATATAACTGATTCATGTTACCCTACTTAATAAAGTCAACATCTGAGTATGATTGGGTAGGCCAAATGAAAATTTGATTATTAAATATTATATATTATTTGGCAATTTTGATTTTGATTGTAATCCTGAGGAATTCTAAACAAGTTTGTTGGACGAAACGTTGGAATTATTTAAATTTCAATCTCTGAGATTATTTCAAATTTAAACTCCGCATACAATGACATCTCTATACTCGGTGCAAAATTTCTGTCAAACTATTCGTTCTAATATTGACCAATATTCGTATAAAAATGAATTTTTATTACGGTATAAGTTTAACTGATACAGGACTGAATACAGTCGTGCAGTGAATTAATTTATCGTCGTAGTTCGAGATCTCATAACTTTAATGCTTACCCACAACCCCACTAACGATTGAATTGGTGACACGTAAATCTTTCATTGAGTACTGTACTGTCAAACAACCTAGTTGCCATGGCATGGTTTAGTTTTTCCAACTTTGTTCACTTCGATAAAATTAAAATGATCGTTTCATTGGAAACATAATCAGCTATGTTCGGTGTCTATTTTAATGACGACTAATAATTTTTGTTTTTATTTGTTTGTGGTTTTATTTATATCAGCCTTTTATTCTCCCTTTATAATAAAGTGGTAAAAACTACCACCAGATTACAGTTATATTTGTAAAATTTAAGTTAATCCATTCCGTATTTTTTTTAAATATTATCAATTAACTGTATCTTCAACAATCTTATATCAGTGACTCAATGCTCATATCATCAAAAAATCTTTTTCTGCCTATTATTTTTAGGTTTTCTTAATGCATGCAAAATTATTCTTCAATATAAACCGAATGCTATACTGTTGAATCAGTTCAATAATGAGAATCGTACCCCTTTGCATTTAGCTACTATAAATGGACATGGGAATATTGTTAACTTACTGTTAAGTCATAAAGGTTTCATTGTTACTTCCATGTATAATATTTTTTAAAATAATTGTATCGACAGCTTGTATAATTGGACCTTTGTATATATCTGTTTTATATCATGCCTACCAACACTTCTATTCATATCAATATTCAAAGTCATTGGAACACACTATTAACAATAGCCCTCTGACCATATAGACTGACCAGATAATATATTAGATAGACTGACTGAAATTAAAACTAGTTAGATTTCATTACTTGAAAAGGATGATTTATTTTGAGTCATCAATACTTTACCCATGTACACATTGATATTACATATTGGTGATACTGAACATGCACACTTTTTAATAGATTATTTAACATAACCTGTTAATCCAGTCCTTTCACTCTGTCTTTTCGCTTAAGTTTGATCAAACAAATATTTTTATGAGACTTGGTGACTCTACATCATTTGTGAATCAGATTAATAATGGTGACTAAATATACTAGAAATATATTCTGAAATAATAAAATACGCTTCATTCATTTCTGTTTTTAAAAAAATTAAGATATTAATTATTGTGAACTGATTCGAAGTATATCAGAATTTAGTAGTATAGTTCTGCAGTAGATGGGTTATTTTTAGACTATTCAGAAAGTGTAAGCAATAACTGAACAACTTCCAAATTTTGCACTATTTTTGACACTGATAATTTTAACAAAAGTACGAACAAGTGTAGACAACAATCAAAACAATTAGAATGAAGTACACAAAAATGGAAATTTCTACACTAAAACAAGTGTTAAACGAGTATATCAAAGTTCAAAGCAACTGTTACAGGCGCTAAAGAGGCGCAATTAGAATAATAAATAGATTGAATGCTATCAGGTTTTGTCAATACTTATAATATTACACCGTAAATGATAAACACAACATGCTATGCTCTCGAAAGTTATAAGAATTGGAAGTTATTACTGATCATTAGTAAGTAGTATAATTAACGTACAAAATGAAATAAGAAAAGAAGGGAACACATGGAAAAGGACATAGACCTTACACTGTTAATCCATTCACTGTTACGGTTGTCAAGTAAAACCCAATAAATTCATTCTGATTTGGAAAAGTGTTTTAATAATCAGTTAGTCAATAATTCCTTTAATTTCAAGTACTGGTCACGTTTTCGACTACTAGTTCTTAATCGATTTCTCAATCTAATAATATCATAGATTCTATACGAAAACATCTGTTTACTTATTCGATTATTTAAAACTGACCGACATTATTGTCATAGAGATAGTTCTGTAACAGAACTAAAGGAAATAAGTCCCTTTTATAAATTCCGATAGATCAACTCCTTCTTCTCATTGCACTATTTAAATAATGTCACTAATTTATGATCTGTTTTTTCGCATTTCACTTATCCTTTCTTTTAATTTCACTGCATATTTATACATTTAATTTTATAAAGCAAATCCATATCTACGTGACAAGAATAATTGTTCATCATATCAATATGCAATTACGAAACGTTTACATTTCTGTCTATTAATTTATGAACGTTATAATGTTGGTAAAGAGAAGCAACAAAATGAAAAACATTCATTAAATGAAAATTTAATCAATGAATTAACTACTTTTCGTCCAGTTAATCCACAATTTTCTCATTATCAGGTAGGTAAAGTAAAAATGATGATTAATTTGATTTTCGTAAACTGTGAAAATAAAATTCTGTAAGTTAATATAAATGATTGACCTAGTTATTAAATGAAATGAATTTTTGCTCTAAATTAACTCCAATTGATTGATACCAATGATATTGATGATGATTTATTCATTTCTCAATTAATTTTAGATATAGTTAAACTAACCCCATTTTTCAGGGGTGATAAAAAGAGCCAAATAAAAAATATACTAGAAGGATAGATTTCAGCCATTCATTTATTTGGAAAGTTGTCTAGAGACACAGAACAGAGGCATTTTTGAGCCCAATCGCAATATTTAAGTTGAAATCATGTTGTAAATGAAAATACACTACGCATAAAATGCAGGTAAAGAGACACAATTTATAAGTAAGATCATAGATTTGCACACAAGTCAAGCACACATATGAACTAAAGGTCTAAATATGATAAGCAAAAGGAAACGTATTGGTACACAAGGTCACAAAATATTTGAGCAGATTAGAATTACATTTAATAGTGAAACAAAAGCAAATTATGTGGGTTGTGTGATACCATCTACTATTGATTATTCGATGAGTAGTTTATGCACAAGACAAAAGTATAACGTCGATCACTATCTGATACTTGTCCATCATACAGAATTTAATTTTACATTAAATTGTTTTCAGCCATTCGAAAAAAAATGTATAACTGTTAAACTCAGCAAAACCAAATTTAGCTTATAGTTACCTGTTCGTCATAGGTGTAAATGTGGAAAGATAGGAAATTCTCTCCAGTTTAACTTCAACCAGTGAGTAAAAATTTTATTTAGTATGTTATCAGCAATAACGATCAGTAAATTTTTTTTCTCCAAAAAAATCTTAATCTTTTTACCATATAAAAATCTATTTGTATTAAAACGTAAAATCATCTCAGTGAAACAATTTGAAAAAATTACTATTTTTTTCAGATATTGGACAGTGGCTAACAATCGGAATTAGTGTATGTAGTTAATCTTATTTACAACTCGAAAGAAAGTTTTATTTAAATCACACTTTCAATATTTCACTGAGATTCCACTACCAACCACCACACTGGTTATAAATAACTTATTAATATGAATAATACAAAGACACTTTTTTAAGTAGCTCAAATCATAATAGTGAATAATTAAAATAAGTTATGAACAATAAAAACGGAAGGTTTATACTATTATAATTGTTAATATTTATCACGATTAATTGTTGGCTCTTGTTTAAATTTCGTTAAAGGATTTTAATTTAAATACATGTCAAGATAGTGACAGTCAAACAAAAAGTCCATCTTCATCAATACCAGATACCAGATCAGTAGTACTAGTGAATAACAAACAGACTAATCAAAGTACTAAACAAACGCACAACTCCTCTTCATCGTTAAACGATTCTATTAGGAAAAAAATAACAAACAATTTGTCAGTTGAAAGTAACAATGATAATAACATTGTCAATAAAGATATCCATCCTACACTAAACCATGTTTCACCAAGAATGTCTTTCAAAGTAAGTTTCCAGTAAATAATTATCAAAGTCAATAAATAAGTGACATAATAAATAGTTGTGATGAATTATATTATTAAAATTATTCAATTATTCTAATCTACTTAACTTTGATTCAAATAAATATCACTGGAAGTATTTCCAGTTTCATTTCCTGTCTGTTCTATATTCTGAACAATCTGAAAGTTCTACTTTGAAAAAGACTCATAGACTTCAAAATTTATTTCATTTCATTTTCAAAGTAAATTTAACATATTTTTATTGAATGTTATACAAACCAATTATTGATTAACTAGATTTGAATGGATGGTAATCATACAGTGTTAACTGTTTATTCCTTTCGTCTTCAATAATTTCTTTATTAAATCATAAATGAAAGAGTTGAGATCGTGAGTCAATTGAAGCTAGACCACTATGAAAAGTCTGGAAGCACTGGACGACCGTTCCGTCCTATTGTGGAACTTCTCAGCAGTGCTCATCTAAGATCCCGCCTCACGATATTCGAAACCAGAACCTATCAGTCTCGCGTGCGAGCGCTTAACCATTAGACCACTGAGCTGATCGGCATCCAATGGTGTTAATGTCTAACTTCAACTAATCCACAAAATTGAGCGACGCATCCGCCAGTGTCTTCAGTAAGCTACTATCTCACAACAGGTCCCCCGCAGAGAAGCCCTAAAATAGGACGAAACGGCCATCCAGTGCTTCCAGGTTTTCTGTTATGTCCTTCACCTGATTGGCTGACAAGCACGTGAATGAGAGAAAACAAGACAACTGGAAGACTACTCGATCTATTCCCGATATCCTGATTTCAGTTCAGTTCAGTTCAGTGTAGAAAGGTACATGAATAAATAAGTGAATAACCCGACCACAACGTACGATAATTATGAAGAATACAATTATGTCCAAAGCTGGGAATTAGATTAGAAAATAGGGTGCAAAATATTATGTTTAAATTACAATAGCTTCGGAACAAAAAAGGATATGGCAATGAATCATACATCGAGCGAAAGCTTATGTTCTGTAGAATAGATTAGGGACAAAAATAAAAGTCAGAGTTTTACAAGCTTTGAATAAAATGGAATAACGTCCCGAAAAATAGATTTTGTAGTTTGTCAGGGCTTCTCGTTTTACTGTTCACAACATTTTCCATAATAGTCTAGCTTCAATTGATTCACAATCTCAACTACTAAAATTACTATAATATCCACAAAACCCCTTCTGATATAAACGAAATAAAGATGATGCTACAAGACTCCTACTTTGTATATTCATTATTCAAACGTTTTCATTTTTCACTTATTAGTAAAAACTATACAGTAAAATTTGATTATTTACTTTTCATGTTGTATTGCATAATTTTTATGGACAGCTTTAGAGTAAATAATCACATGTGAGTATTAGAATATAATTAAATGGAATAAATTTATAGTTGATAATTAATTAATTATAGTTTTAAGTAAAATTGTAAAATCTCATCATTGTTATGTTTTTCATAGTTTTTATAGACTAAAATGTTACCTTATTACCTCTATTTTCTTTAATTTTTTTTTTTAGGGTCATCTTACTGAAATTAAATCTATGATAAATAATAAAGATATACAAAATCATAAACTGAAAAATAATTTTACAATTAAACGTCAATTACTACCAACAGATAAAAGAGTACATCGGATTAACAATTACTCAAAAGTACCATCAAAACGATTAAGTCAACAAAATGATAAAATTCAAAATTCAATGCTAAAGTTAGGAAACCATATACAATCATCATCATCTGATCATTCAGATGTAGATAGTAAAAGAAACGATGAACCTAATGAACGTTTAATACCTAGACTATATAACAATCATAGTATTAGTAATAATGGTAACGTTATCAATACAACTTACAATAATAGCAAAATTAATTCCAAAGGTATATATTGATTTTTAAATAAATGTATAACCCACTTATTGTACATATAAATATGTAAGCACTTATTGCAATAGTTGGCATAAAATGTATTATCAATACTCACAATTATCTAGACTGAAAGCTGTCTTAAAATTAATTGTCAGTTTCTGTTCATCTCATTTATATGTCAAGATATAGATTTCGTTTAATGTATCCGTGAGATGTCAAGAAATATGTAAACATAAAGTTAGAGTAAGAACTAAATTGACCATTGGATTAATTTGACAATACGATAGTTCACAGTTTGTGTTATACTGACTATCAATTTTATTATTCACAGAAGTGCTTAATCCTAGGATCTCATGATGAATGTTTTGTATTTAATTCTGTAAAGATTAATAATGATTTAAAATAAATGAATAAAGGAACTTTTAATAGCATATAAGGAAGAAAAATATATTTGTATAAAATCTCAGCGGTTAAATTCTAAATAAATGCGACATTTCGCTCCACAATCTGGTCCAAGCTTTTTCAAGACAATATAATCAAACATCATAATTATCAAAAATAAATGGGTACATAATTCTTCAGTTAGTTGTATGGTAAATAAATGATTCAATCATGTTAACATTGTTTAAAGTAGGTATTTGCTTTAGTGTATATCAGACATGTAGTGTGAAACGAAAAGTGTGTTAAGATGGCAGATTATGGGTATTTGTAAATGGATCTGAGGTGTGTAAAGAAATTTCATTCACTATTTATGGCTACTGATCGGTGAATTTTTAGAGAAAACATACGATTGTTATATATGATATTAGTCGAACATGTCACAACATACATATAATAAAGATAAATAAACAAAATAAAAATAATTGAATGAATGTGTTATTTCTCTGTTCCAGTTAATTGTTCATCAACCAACTGATTAAAATAGCTGAATGTGATTGTTGCTGCACAGATAATAAATGGTAAATAAAATGGAATAAAGAGTTCAAATTTACTCATTAATTATTAGTTCCCTTGGGACAGCTAATTGTATTCCATCTCCCCTATTAATACTATTTGGATTTGCCCACATGTGTAGGGCTTCGGCTGTTGGTCTTTCTTTGTAATAACTTAAACCTCTCTGTAGGATTCTTGTGCCATTTAAATCAATGGTATGGCATGGTATGGTATCTTAGAGTATTGTTTGTGCAAAAGAATACTTTTATGTTTTGAAGACTTACGACCATTCTGATCCCTTCTGAAAACCTTTTATGGTATGGGATCATCACAATGTTAACCCATTCTTTCCCTTTATCCTTTACAGTATCGTTCCAGTTTTCTTTCTTAATTATTGTCTTTAGGAAATCCATAGGATAACTGTTCATCATCAAAGTGGACAAAGCTGAATTCGTTTTAGTATGCACGCTGTTAATTAAGATTTGGCATAGTTTTATGAGAGAAGAGATATAAAATAGTGTTTGAAAATCTGGCTTAATTTTCTGTGGAACACAGGTCTTTTCTAGCTTTTTTTTTCACTCAAGCAGCTGGTTGTGGAAATATGTAGGAAGTGTATATAAGACTCAGATGACCACTCAAAATACAATTTACAAATTGTTCAAATGGAGTTTTTAGATTGTAAATAAAAGTATTAGTCATTTTGAACTAATAATATGTATTTCATTTAAACCAAGCTTCTAGAAAACTGCAATCTAGAATTTGCCTAATTCTAAATTTCTTCTTAAATCACAATTAATTTACAGATGTTGATAAGTTAAAAAATAGTGATAGTTCATCAGTTTCTGATATAAATTCAGTCCCTGATAACGAGAGAATCCTAATGCCTACTCCACATAAAGCATCATATCCAAATGAAATAAATCAAAACAATTGGAAGTCTGTATTATACCATCCTAGACTTCTTAAACGAGGTCAAGTTAATAATATACCACAAGAGAATTCTATGTAAGTTAATTCATATATACGAATATTTCACTGCATCTTTCAGTCACTGTGTTATCTTAAGCAATATAGATTGACTGTTTGCTTAATAATATCATTATAAATTGAATGGTCTTGTAATTATTAACTAATTATTTAACCACATTGTTTATAATCAAACCGGTATAAAGTAAATATGTAACTTTTGTTTTTAGAAATCATATATCAGAAAGTTTATGAATTATTAAGATTATTGTGTTTTTCGATTTAATTCATTTACTTGGATATTCCTTTATAAGTCAAACAAAGTCATGAGACTAAACAGTCCTGATCGTAATGAAATTACTAATCATAACTGAATAAAGTTTCCTACCTTAACAATTTTTTGATGTAATGCAACTTATCCGTCCATTGATAAGTAATTCGTATAACTATAGAAATATTTGCTTCTTACTAGAAATTTTAACTAATTCAAAAAATTACTTACTTCTAATTAGTTCCAGTCGTTTTGCATTCAACTATTTCATAAATGACAAATAACACAAACATTTTAAACAACATAGCTTATCGACTTCAGATAGTTTATTGTTTAGTACTAAATTCTGGTTGTTCTAAAAGTACTCTAAATTACTCCTTTAGTGAGAACTGATCTTAGAAACCAAACTATTTAGTAGGTGCATAAAATAATTGATAATAATTGGAATGGTTAAGTAGATATAATCGAGAGATCAAACAATTCTGATCTGAACAATATTTCAACCATAAATGAAGTTATGTATCAGTCTTATTCATTCATTAACTATACTCTAAATCATTACATTATCAATAAAGGTATTTCATGGCAATCAATTTTAATCTGAGCGTAGAAAAATATATTTAGTATGCAAAACTATATAGTTTTTTTTTAAAAAAAAATTAATATAACTACAATGCACTTTAACAAAAAAAAGTGGAAGTTGTTTTTGTGTTTTAAAACATCCAAAGTAAATAGAAAATGAGCAGACCCCCCTTTTTTTATCCATCTACTTGACCTCAAACAAAAATAGTTTCATTCATTTTGATACGGATAGTTTCATCTCAAGAAAAAAACAAAAACAAGAAATAAACTGATACACTATTATATTCCTTAATTATTGTGAATAAACTATACAATCACTGGAATTTATCAATAAGAATTTACTCAATTGTTTTCTCTTCTTTTTTTTCCTAAATTTTATTATTAAGAAATAATATTCATAAATTAGGTGTAAACAAATCAAATGATCTTGATACAGAATATGAAAATGAAATCATACCATTAAATATGAAAATAATGACTAAACAAACAATGAATTCATCTCGTTTAAATAAAACATCATTATTTAAAAATTTATTAACACCATCTTTGAATTCTGTTAAAACTAATAATAATAATAATAAATAATAATTTTGTTTATTTATTTAATTATTATGTTTTATATCAGAATGTTTTCTGTGGTTATTATTAGTAATTTCAATAGTTGAGATCATGATTCAATTGAAGCTAGATCATTATTGAATGAATTGAAGTTAGACATTAATACCGTTTGATACCGATCAGCTTAGTTGTGTAGTGGTTAAGCGCTCTCTCGCTTGCTCGCTCGTGAGACTAATAGATCCTAGGTTCAAATCCCTCAAGCCGTAATCTTGAGTGCATACCGGTGAAGAGCCACACAATAGGATGAAACCGCCATCCAATGCTTCCAAGTTTTCCATGGTGATCTAGCTTCAATTGACTCATGATCTCAACCATTGAGATTAGTATTCTGTAAAAGATTTTTACATTATCAGTATTAATGTTAAATGAATATTGAAATTGACTAACTATTCAAAGAAAACTATATATAATAAGATAAATTTATTTAAACAAAAATTAAAAACGCATTACATCATAATCATACTTTCTCTCTCTCTCTCTTTATACATTTTGAAATAATAAGAGATTTGTTTTAGTTTTATAAAGTATAACTAAATGTTTCTATGTGGCTTTTTGAAAAATAAAAATCAAATTGAGCGCGTGTTTTTTTATTTAAAAAAACAAAGTATAAATGTCCAATTTATACTGAGAACAATCTAGAATATTTTAAAATGAAAATTATAAATCTCTCGTTTTTACAATTTATCATTTACTAAAATAAATAAATGACTTATGAAGTTCGTTCTTTTTTAAACTTTAAAATTGATAAACATAAAAAGATTATCTTTTAAATGAATCATTTCGTTTAATACATAAAAAAATGTTTGTTTTAATTTAATTTTTGTTTCTTTAAAAAATTTAACTAAATTGTATACTAATCATTAAATGGAATTAATATATAGTGGTTTTAATTAATTAATCGATCATCTCGATAACTGTTATAATATGAAATCATAATGGTGTTTAAAATCAGCAAGAAATGAGAAGCGGCAACTACAATTTATTAGGAGAGGATAGTGTAGATCACAAAGCTATAAGCAGCATATCGAATAAATTTGAAGTGAAGATGCGAGCAAATACATAGGCAAATTTATAGTCAAATTGCATAAGGGCGCAATAAGACAAAGTCAAAGCTAATAATACAATATGATTATATATATATATGGAGAGGAGTATGAATCACCAAGTGTATTTAAGCAATCAACATTTTAACTAAAGTCTGTCATGTGATCTAGTGATTATAACAGTACAAAAAAATATGGGTATTGTTACTATTGTAATAACATTGACTGATAAGTAAGTTAATAAAAGGGCTCAACCAAAATAAACCGTAATCGAAAGTGGGTGTAGGATACTTTCTATAACTATTCTTAATAGTAGAAAATGAATATCACAGTTTGACTATGATGCAAAATATATATGTATATGAATGTAGATCTTGCGTAAAAACACCTATTTTTGTTTAAATATATTATGATATATCAAAGAGAAAACTGAAAATATAAATAATTTGTTATTGAATTCGAATATTGTTTTCTGTTGACAAGTAATCAGTACCTAGCACAAATTTTATAATAATGTAGCACAAGATTGCAAAGAACACAGATCCAATCAACTTTGGCCACTGTTTCAGTTGTGATGTCTGTTAATTGTATGGCTATTGGAAACCTTGTGAATCTGTTTGTGAGTGTAAATAGATAACTGAAACCATTAGAACGTGGTGAATGACCTAAAAAATCAATATGAACATAGGCAAAATGTGCATTTGATTATGAGAAAACTTCGATGGGTGAATTCATGGGAAGATTAACCTTTGGTTGTTGACACGCCGAATATTCTCTAACCCATTTCTGTACATTTTGTAAAATTGCTTATATACATCTGGGATTGATCAGTTTGATAGTAGCTTTCGCGCCAGCATGAGACAAAGTATTAAAGTTACTAACTATTCAATTTCGCATATTTCTGGGGACTAACTTTTGAGGCATTACCTTGGTCGTGTCACAATAAATCAAACTATCTTCAATAGGCGACGGTAGCTGTCTAAATTCGAGACTAGAGTTCTTTTCTATAAGTAGGTTCTTCTTTCTGATTGTTTCTCAACGTCTCGAAATTTACTGAAGATTGTTGTATTATGTTCATTTCTAGCCAAAATAATGTATCTGCCGCCTAACTGTACTGACTTTTAACATGTCGGATATTACTGGTGATTTGTGATATATAGTCAAGGTGTCGGGTCTCTCCAGGAGAGTATTCATCGGCACTGGCTTTTAATCTGTCGGTTAGTGGTTCACGATCCGTATAAACTATAACCTCTCCACCTTACAACGTGTATATAAATTGCTTAATGGCTAGGTAGATCGCAAAAATTTGTCGTCAGAAGGCAGAATAGTTCGTCTCTTCTGAAGTGGGTCTTTTTTAGAAGAATGTAATCGGTTCGCAGACTTTTTTCAACCAGTTTGTCTAAGAATACCGGCCACTGCTTTGTGCGAATGGGAATTCGTATACGTTAGTATGGATACTTGATCTAGTTTATCCTTTAGCTGTTTAACAGCCTCAGAAGTCATTTCAGATTCCTTTGGTTTTCCTCTTAGGTAATCTGTTAAACGTAACACTAATTCCGCATAACTGGGTATGAATCTTCTATAAAAATTAAACAAACCTAGAAACCTAAGTTGTGTTAGAGAACTTGGTATGTGATATTGTCTAGTAATGTGCACCTCTTTGATCAGTCCAATCCCTTCTGAACTTATTCTCATGTGCTATTCATGTGATATGAAATCCTGACTGGCAACTAACTAATTGTCTACACACCCCTATACAAAAGGAATATCCCGAAATGGGTTATCCATACATTTTCGAAATATATGTGCCGCGTTCCTCAGGCCGAATGGCATGTGTACAAAGTTGAACAGACCTAAAGGTGTAGTATTAGCTGTTTTAGGGATATCTTTTTCAACTACTGGGATATTATGATATCCCCTGACCAAGTCAATGTTAGTAAATGTGTTCATACCCTGTAAACCAATTGTCAAGTCTTAGGTTTGAGGTATTGTACACCTGTCTGGTATTGTTTGACGGTTGAGAGATCTGTAATCCCTACACGTTTGTCCATCGCCTTCACTTTTCTTCCGGACCATATGCAAAGGGGTTGCCCATAGTCCATCAGACGGAAGGATAATACCCAGCTGTAGCATGTGTTCGAATTTAGCTCAGTAATTTTAAGCTGGTCTGGTGATAATCTCCTGGGTCAAACAAACACGGATGGACCTTCAGTTTTCATTTGACACAAACTTCCAGAGATACCAACAGAACTATCCACCTTGTTTGTACGTTTCTGACTTGAATCTCGGTCGCTGTGGTGACCTGCTCCTGTTTCTATCACCCATTTGCATTTTACTGACAACACCAATAGTATTTTTAACACTCACGATAAGCTCTACTATGACCTGGTCCTTTGATGATCCTTCTTTTTTGTATTATGTATCTTATATGATCCAGTTGGGGGCCTCTTTCAATTGTTCTCTCTGTAATAACTGCTAAGTGAAGTTGAGAGGTTTCTGGTTCTTTTGCATCCGAACAGTGTTGAACGTAGTATGGGAGGGCCTGTGTACTCCTTGTTTTAGGACTGCTTCACTCGCTGTGTTGTCTCTCACTAAGATGTGAAGGTGATGTGAAAACTGTGATGATGACACATTACCCAATGTTTCGCTTTGAAATAGCCCTTGAATTCTTTGGCCATCTGATAAAGATAGACGGTTCATTATTTCTCGTCGTAAAATGGAGTATGGTCGGGATATTGTTGGACTCAAAACTAAGTTGCGGACCTGTTTGGCTACTAAGGGATGGAGAACAGAGTATAAATATTGGTAGCGAATCCCCTCAGATTTATCATTGTTTCTCGTCAACTAACGCTCTAATTGGACAAACGGTCAAATTACGGGAGTCGAACTTTGATAGTCATAACAGTACCTATCACTTACTTACACGCTTACGCCCGTTACTCCCAGTGGAGCACAGGCCGCTGATCAGCATTCTCCAACCTACTCTGTCCTTGGCCTTCCTTTTCAGTTCTATCCAGTTTTGTTCACTCTTTTGATGTCTGTCTCCATTTCTCGGTGTAATGCGTTCTTTGGTCTTTCTCTCCTCCTTTGGCCTTGAGGATTGCATGTAGGGGCTTGCCTTGTGACGCAGTTGGGTGATTTCCCCAGCAATTCTTCCTCCACTGGGATCTGGTTTGTTCTCTCCCACAGTACGTTGTTGCTGATAGTGTTTGACCAACCTATCCGAAGTATTTTGGGTAGACGACTGTTAATAAACACCTGTATCTTCTGGATGATGGCTTTCATAGATCTCCAGGTTTCCGCCCCGTGTAGTAGAACTGTCTTGACATTAATATTGAAAATTCTGACCCTAGTGTTGGTTGACAAGTGTTTTGAGTTTGAGATGTTCTTCAGTTGTAAATATGCTGCTCTTGCTTTGCCGATCCGTGCCTTTACATCCGCATCAGATCCAACTTGTTCATCGATGATGCTGCTCAGATACGCAAAGGTTTTTACATCTTCCAAATATTCTCCGCCAAGTGTGATTCGATTGTCGCATGTTGTGTTATATCGGGGACTCTTGCTTTTTTGTATGTTGAGATCTACTGCTGCTGTGGTTGCTTCTACACTGGTCGTCTTCTCCTGCACTTGTTGTTGCATGTACGACAGAAGAGCCAGATCATCTGCGAAGTCTATATCGTCCAGCTGCATCTCAGCTGTCCACTGTATTCGATGCTTTCCTTCAGGTGTTGACATCTTCATTATGCAGTCGATCACCAGAAGAAAGAGAATGAGTGAAAGTAAGCAACATTGCCTGATACTGGTCTTTACTTCGAACGGAGTAACTATTTATCTCCACCGGTGAAAAATTATACTAATCCTTCAGGCTTTCTGTCTGGATTGAGTCTGACATGTGGTGTATGATCAGGACAGTTGATCGAGGTATAGCACT